AAAATTAACCTAAATATATATGTTTAGAATTGAATGATTTTTTAATATGTTGTACATTCAAGTGTATACTTTAATTTAAAATGATAAAATTTTGGGGAATACCGTCACAACATAGGTAAATGTTCGTCCGAACATTATTAGTACGCTGAGAACAAATTCGTTAGCTAGACTTTAGGCTAAAATTAACCTAAATATATATGTTTAGAATTGAATGATTTTTTAATATGTTGTACATTTAAGTGAATACTTTAATTTAAAATGATAAAATTTTGGGGAATATCGTCTCAACATAGGTAAATGTTCGTCCGAACATTCTTAGTACGCTGAGCGCTAATTCGTTAGCTGGACTTTGAGCTAAAATTAACCTAAATATATATGTTTAGATTTTAATGATTTTATAATATGTGCTACATTTAAGTGTATACTTTAATTTAAAATGATAAAATTTTGGGGAATATCGTCACAACATAGGTAAATGTTTGTCCGAACATTATTAGGACGCTGAGAACAAATTCGTTAGCTAGACTTTAGGCTAAAATTAACCTAAATATATATGTTTAGAAATGAATGATTTTTTAATATGTTGTACATCCAAGTGTATACTTTAATTTAAAATGATAAAATTTTGGGGAATATCGTAACAACATAGGTAAATGTTTGTCCGAACATTATTAGGACGCTGAGAACAAATTCGTTAGCTAGACTTTAGGCTAAAATTAACCTAAATATATATGTTTAGATTTTAATGATTTTATAATATGTGCTACATTTAAGTGTATACTTTAATTTAAAATGATAAAATTTTGGGGAATATCGTCACAACATAGGTAAATGTTTGTCCGAACATTATTAGGACGCTGAGAACAAATTCGTTAGCTGGATTTTAAGCTAAAATTAACCTAAATATATATGTTTCGATTTTAATGATTTTTTAATATGTGCTACATTTAAGTGTATACTTTAATTTAAAATGATAAAATTTTGGGGAATACCGTCACAACATAGGTAAATGTTCGTCCGAACATTATTAGTACGCTGAGAACAAATTCGTTAGCTAGACTTTAGGCTAAAATTAACCTAAATATATATGTTTAGAATTGAATGATTTTTTAATATGTTGTACATTCCAGTGTATACTTTAATTTAAAATGATAAAATTTTGGGGAATATCGTAACAACATAGGTAAATGTTTGTCCGAACATTATTAGGACGCTGAGAACAAATTCGTTAGCTGGACTTTAGGCTAAAATTAACCTAAATATATATGTTTAGAATTGAATGATTTTTTAATATGTTGTACATTCAAGTGTATACTTTAATTTAAAATGATAAAATTTTGGGGAATACCGTCACAACATAGGTAAATGTTCGTCCGAACATTATTAGGACGCTGAGAACAAATTCGTTAGCTAGACTTTAGGCTAAAATTAACCTAAATATATATGTTTAGAATTGAATGATTTTTTAATATGTTGTACATCCAAGTGTATACTTTAATTTAAAATGATAAAATTTTGGGGAATATCGTCTCAACATAGGTAAATGTTCGTCCGAACATTCTTAGTACGCTGAGCGCTAATTCGTTAGCTGGACTTTGAGCTAAAATTAACCTAAATATATATGTTTAGATTTTAATAATTTTTTAATATGTTGTACATTTAAGTGTATACTTTAATTTAAAATGATAAAATTTTGGGGAATATCGTCACAACATAGGTAAATGTTCGTCCGAACATTATTAGTACGCTGAGAACAAATTCGTTAGCTAGACTTTAGGCTAAAATTAACCTAAATATATATGTTTAGAATTGAATGATTTTTTAATATGTTGTACATCCAAGTGTATACTTTAATTTAAAATGATAAAATTTTGGGGAATATCGTAACAACATAGGTAAATGTTCGTCCGAACATTATTAGGACGCTGAGAACAAATTCGTTAGCTAGACTTTAGGCTAAAATTAACCTAAATATATATGTTTAGAATTGAATGATTTTTTAATATGTTGTACATTTAAGTGTATACTTTAATTTAAAATGATAAAATTTTGGGGAATATCGTCACAACATAGGTAAATGTTTGTCCGAACATTATTAGGACGCTGAGAACAAATTCGTTAGCTAGACTTTAGGCTAAAATTAACCTAAATATATATGTTTAGAATTGAATGATTTTTTAATATGTTGTACATTCAAGTGTATACTTTAATTTAAAATGATAAAATTTTGGGGAATATCGTCTCAACATAGGTAAATGTTCGTCCGAACATTCTTAGTACGCTGAGCGCTAATTCGTTAGCTGGACTTTAAGCTAAAATTAACCTAAATATATATGTTTAGATTTTAATGATTTTTTAATATGTTGTACATTCAAGTGTATACTTCAAATTAAAATGATAAAATTTTGGGGAATACCGTCACAACATAGGTAAATGTTTGTCCGAACATTCTTAGTACGCCGAGCGCTGGATTTCAGACTCAAATTTACTTAAGATTTTATGTATATATTATTTTATATGTAATGAATTTAAGTATTTCCCCCCATTTCATTTGTGAAAATGTGCCGGAAAACGTTACAACATGTGTTATATCGTTTAAATTAAGGTTTTAACATTTTTAACACAGTTGAGGTCTATTATCGTTTTATTAGATTGTACACAGGTAGGGTAGTGGGGGTGTGGAATTCTCCGCCCGCCGTTAGCTGGCGATAGCTGTCTTCACGATCGTGTTTACTCTCAGCAGCAGATTAGTGGAATGGGCACACGGGAGGGACTAAGGCTAAGGTGTAGTGACGTAATTTCTCTAGTGGCTTATGTCTTCTCTTGAGGCAACACGATTACCGTAACGAAACGATGTGATTTCAGCGGCGTTCGTAGCATAGTTGGTAGCGTTTTGGATTGATGTTCAAGAGGTCCCGGGTTCGAATCCCGCTAGCAACACAAACTTTTTGTCAACAAATTTTTCATATCAGCAAGTTTGGTTGGTTAGGTTAGGTTATAACAGTTTAATTTTATAATACTAAATTTTAAAATTAATTTTATAATTAATTAAAAATTAAAAGTACTGTAATCATTAATTAGATTTGTATCTTATATAGTTTTTGTTATTATCAGCAAGTCTGGTTGGTTAGGTTATGTTATGACAGTTTAATTTTAAAAATTAATTTAATAATTTTAAAACAATATTTTATAGTTAAAAAGTTAATTTTATAACTAAAATTTAAATTTTTTCAACTTAGCAGTTCTAGCGGCGAACGCTGACACTACAAGATATGATAGCCTTAGTCCCTCCCGTGTGCCCCACCGGCAGATTAGTTGCCTAGAATAAATCAATGGCAAGAAGATAAACTGCGTATCGTTTCTTGTCATGTAAAATAGAACTTTATGAATCATAAATAGCTAATTGAACATTTTATAAGGTTCATCGCCATCATTTTTACTTTGAGACAGCTACGCACACCTAAATGCGTATTTTAAAGCGGAATATATAAATGCAAGGTAGAATGGGGCGAGGTTGTTTGTAGTTTAAGCTTTGTTACTGACTCAGATCAAATGTTTCTTTGTATTTGTTATGTCATGTTTCACAGCCTAGCTAAAGAAATTAATTCTAAAAGGATTTTACCAATAGCACAGAATAAATGTATTATAAGTGTAGTGTAAGCATTATGTTTTGCATTGCAGTGTCAAAGTCTGTCACGTCAGCTATTTTTTTCTTTTTTTTAATTATTGAACTATTGTTACCTTGGCCTTTGTTCTTTCAGAAAGATATTATAATCCTCCAATATAATTCGCCACAGTGTGTATGGCATCTTCAGGGAGACGAGAAGTACTATTTACACATTACAGTTTATACAAAACGGTGTATACACACATCACAACTACGTAAGTTTACGTCTCGGCGACTTACATATAGGAGAGTTTATTGGGGGGACTCATCGAGGAGCCTATTTTCAGATCCTAGCCAAATTATATCCGCCATGCCACATGTAAATATTGTATAAGTTATATTGTAAATAGTGTAAATATATGTTTTTATTGACAAACTAATATGAGTTGACGCAATCTATCCTACATTGTCACTCAAGGATGAAGACCTCAAGTATTTCAAGTATATAGGCACAGCCACCTTTACTCCAGACCGCGTGGTATTGGTGTATGGTGCGTCCGCGCCCGCGTTCGCGTTCGCGAAGTTGCCGTGACGCAAACTTGCGTAAATAACGTACCTAGTTGTGATGTGTGTATGTGTATACATCGTTGTGTATAAGCTGTATAGTGTGTAAATAATACCTCTCGTCTCCCTGAATATGCCACACACTGGTGAAATATATTGAACGATTATAACTTCTTTATTCTTTCTGCAAGAGCAAAGGCTAAGGTAACAATAATTCCATTATATTCTAGTTCTTGCCACTGGAAAATACATCAAATGATATTTGTTTTTTTGTGCCTATGGCCTATATGAAAATCATGGCCGGACATTGATTGGTATGTATAGAATTGCGTTTTCTTTTGCCGATTGTCATGAACTTTGTAGTTTTATCGACAATTAATAATTGCATTTCTTTTATTTAGCACCTTAGCTGATTAAAAACATTCATGTCATACTAGAGGATCCATGCTGCTCCGCAGCGTTAAACTAAAAATATAATATCCAAGAATTAATCAAATTTGTGATTTTGCAGAGTAGTACCTGCTGGTACGTGAGCACATTTCAGTTCATTTAGCTGTTTGTAGGTTAATTAATACTGTATAATTATCTTGACTTTAAATCTATAACAATTTTCACTTGTTACCCAATTCAACCATAGATAAAACATTCAACTTTGTGCTCTATACTTTTTTTTACTATACATACAGTTTATAAATCAGGTAAAAAGTATACATGAATTAAATGTGCTTGTTTTTTTCCTTCCGTCATGCGTGTGCTAGTTCCTGTTCCTGATAGGCAAGTCAGCTCAGCTGTTTTTGACACTGGAGCAACGGGACCCGTATAACGAACATATGTTTCGTTGGAGGTTAGTTTTTCAATTTATTCAATTCCAGTGTTGTTTCGTTTTCCGTCTGCTCTGCTGCAACAACAAACGAACCATGAAATCACTTCTCAGGAGGAGAAAGCTCTAACTTAAATAAAATTCTGTTCAGGTAAAGTTGATAATGATAACTATAATTATAATTAATTTAGTAAGTACTATATTATTAAAGAAAAAATTGCATCAGTATTCCAGTGATAATTTATTATAACGGTTGCCCTGTTTCTGTTAGACATGAATTTTAACCTAACAATAAGGATACAATTATAATTTAGGCATCCCTCGATATTTCACATTCATTAACTATTTTATTTCTCCATCTTTCGTATGATACCACTATCACAACTTTGCCTTTTTGTATAGTTTTAGGTAATTTTTGATTGTAGGCCTACACTCCAATCATCATCAGATCCAATACATTTAAGTGAGTCATATACATTTTTTGTACACAATCAAAGTCAATCCTTGAACGGTAGCCTACTAGATCCAATATTGAGCAGAGCATGTTTTAGTTCAGTGATTTGCTCACACACAATGCATTTTAATAAGTTATGTAAGTTAGAAGGGACCAATTTTTAGGCTAAGTTGCATCTTAACTTACCGGTACATCTGAAATCGGCTATTTCCAGCTATTCCAGTTGAGGTTTCTTTACCATAGGTTCAGACAACCATCTGACTTAGGCAGCACAATTTCAAATTGAAAAATACAAAAGGTCACGTAAACTTCTGTCACAAAATATACAGTAGGGAGCCTAACTTACTAGCAGAGAAATGAAATGAAATGAAATGAAAAATCATTTATTTATACAGGCAAAGTTAGGGCCACATGGCCCTTTCTTACAGTTAACCTGTACTTTAAAACATAATATAAATATTTTAACATAAATATTTTAGCAGAGTACCCGTCCTTCGAGGTTGACACATATTTGTCAAGGGCTTATTGCTGTAATACCCTTGCTTAACTTAGCGTTCACAACACAGTGAGAACACGGAAAATTGGGTCCTTAAAATTTACACTGTACAAAATAGTAACCGGTACACATCCGCCTGCCATTAATTTTGGGGACAAAATTCAATTACCACTACCGTCACCTCTAAGTTAATTGTCAAACTTTTTTTCATTTTTTAGTGAATTTCCCATATAAGGAATAAGCTATTACTGTAGGTCTCATGGTAGCCTAAGTAAAAACCATCAGATTTTGAAGTACGGTAATTTGGTTATAAAAACATGTAAACATGTGACGTTTATTCTAACGAGTTTCCAAACCAGCAAGAGTGGACTATGAGAACAGGGTTTGATGGGATAACAGTTGGTTTTCCTATTTTAGACCCACATAACATAAATTTTGCTATCTTGTCCAAACCATTTTCTAAAGCATTAAGAAACAAATAAGTTAGGTTAAGTTAGTATTAGTAAAGCACTATTGTCAGTGTCAAATGGTTACAGAGAAAATAAAATAAACTGTTTAAATTATAAATTCTCAAGTTATTCTTATAGAGAACTAGCTGAGTAGGGCCTACTCGTCCTGTGTAAGGAGTTGGCGTTTAAGTATAAAATGCGTATTGCAGTTATACTTATGCTTTGCGTAACTTGCGATGGGAGAGGACTCAGTTTAAGACAATTTGGTTCTTTTAATTTACGGTATGCTATAGTATAGCACATCCTAAGTTACCATGTAGCGTTAATGTTTAACTACTGCACCTAAAAAATAAAAAAAGTGAAATTCTCATAAACAAAATTAATAGTGCTGCACCATGGTGGTAAACCTTAATACCTTTGTAATGCTATTTTAATATCATAGAACCAACTTGTGTAGTTTAAACGGCTGACAAAATTCCTTTATTCCTTTAAAATATGAATACTCATAAGGTTAACATGGGAAAATCCAGAGCAACTGGGGCGGAGCCCGAAAGGATTTTTGAGATAAGAATATGTCTATATTGTGAGCTATCATAACACCAAATTTCAGCCCAATCCGACCAGTATTTTTTGCATTTACTTGTCACAAATATCTATCCATACCGGTACATCCAAACTTTCTCACTTATAACATCAGTCGCATATTTATAGGGGTTTCATGATAAAACTTTAGTTTAATGTTCTAACTAATACATATAACTATCAATATTTGATCTTATGCATACTCCTGAGAGCATGTGTAACATTATTAACCGTAAGTTTAATTTTCACAGCAGCTCCATTGGCAGTCGCTTGAGGCCAGTGGCCAGTTGGACTTTCATGATGGACTTGTCAACTCCTGAAGAGGAAGACTTTCCTGGTAGATTGCTACATCAGGTCTGTACCAACAATTCTCACAATGGCTTAACAATTTCAATTATAGAATAAATCAACTGTATGGATAACAGCTACTTTAAGCCCTTTGTAATATTAACAAAGAACGTTTTTTGGCTTTTCTGGCTTAGCTAAAACCTTCTCTTTATACAATAGGCTTGAATTAAGATAGGCCTACACTTAAGTTTTTGACTAGCCTACTACTTTTATTAAAACCATTTCATACTAAACACACCATGTGAATGCACAATAACTGGAAATGTGAGCTTCTTAAAAGTGATATACTTACTGATAAAACCAGTAAACCCTACTGTATTCAGTTGTTTACGATATTCAATATCCATTACAGAACATACTCCCCATCGTTCACACTATTATTTTTTGTATCGGTAGTGTTTGTTGTACTACCATTAAAAGAAGTTAAGTTCTGTATTTATTTTAGAAAGTAAGCTGTGATTAACTCACAGCCATTCCAGCCATTTCTGTATAAAATAATAGAACAATACTGTGTCACAAAAAAACTGTGAATTTAAGCTCAATTAGTGAATTTCCCATATTAGTCCAGGACCTGACTAGGGTTCTGTGTGCATGTCGTGTATAGAGAATTTTGCTTTTGCATTTCAATATAGGTGTATTAGGAAGTGTTTTCCACTCGGGTGTCAAGTTCGCACCTGGTACGTTTTCGAGCTATGACGTCATCAAGATGGCGGCTCGGCAATTTTTAAATGCGTATATTTCGCAAACCGTTTAACGGATCGGGATGATTCTTTTTTTGTTTGAAAGATATTTTTACAAGCAATCTTTTTTGTATTTACATATTTGTTGTAAACTTAATATTTACCGCACAATATTGAAAAACGTCGTTTTTATTGTTATTATATTTATTGTTATGCTTATAACTTCTTAACCGCTGATAAAATCAAATACCACCCATTGCAAAAGTTGCAGATAATTCTATACCCTTTCCAATGATATCAAACAATATGTGATTAGACCTAAAAACATAGACCCACAATATTAATAAATGTACATTTAATTGTTGTTTTTATTTTACTTTTGCTTATAACTTTTTGACAAATAGTAGGTTAACAACAAAAGTGTAAATACAAAAAAGATAGGCTTAAAAAATATCTTACAAACAAAAAAAGAATCATCCCGGTTCGTTAACCAGTATGCGAAATATACGCATTTGAAGAATTGTTCCAGCCGCAATATTTTTTGGACTTTCTACCATGTTAAGTGTTAGTTAACGGTTTATTTAATCTCTTGGCTTTAGTTTTAGTTTCAAACATTAATTGTTTGGTATCGATGGAAAGGGCATAAAATTATCTAAAACTTTTGTAATAGGTAGTTATTTCATTCTATAAGCGTTTAACAAGTTATGAGGAAAAATTCAAAAACAATGATATTAAAAACCACGTTTTTTAATATAGTGAGATAAATATTACGTTGACAACAAAAGTGTAAATACAAAAAACATTTCCTGTAAAATTATCTTTCAAACAAAAAAAGAATCATCCCGATCCATTAAACGGTATGCGAAATATACGCATTTAAAATTTGCCCTAGCCGCCATTTTGATGACGTCATAGCTGGAAAACGTAACAGGCGCGGACTTGACACCCGAGTGGAAAACACTTCCTAAGACACCTATATTGAAATGCAAAAGCAAAATTCTCTATACACGACATGCACACAGAACCCTAGTCATGTCCAGGACTGAATCTTTCCCGGACCGTACACCACTTTCAGTGTTTTTTTACGGTTTATTCAATCTCTTTGCTTTATTTTTAGGTCTAATCACATATTGTTTGATATCATTGGAAAGGGTATAGAATTATCTGCAACTTTTGCAATGGGTGGTATTTGATTTTATCAGCGGTTAAGAAGTTATAAGCATAACAATAAATATAATAACAATAAAAACGACGTTTTTCAATATTGTGCGGTAAATATTAAGTTTACAACAAATATGTAAATACAAAAAAGATTGCTTGTAAAAATATCTTTCAAACAAAAAAAGAATCATCCCGATCCGTTAAACGGTTTGCGAAATATACGCATTTAAAAATTGCCGAGCCGCCATCTTGATGACGTCATAGCTCGAAAACGTACCAGGTGCGAACTTGACACCCGAGTGGAAAACACTTCCTAATACACCTATATTGAAATGCAAAAGCAAAATTCTCTATACACGACATGCACACAGAATCCTAGTCAGGTCCTGGACTATATAGAGAATAAACTATTACTGTAGGTTTCATGGTAAGACCTAGACCCGGGACCGATTTACTTTTTAGTTTTATGTCTCCAGAGGCCAAAAAAACCATCTGTTCAATTTCATATATTTGGCCTGAATATACTAGTTTGAAAAATATATGTCCATTAGCACAATAACTCAAGCAAAAATCACCCAATCTTGATGAAATTTGGTACCGTACAAACGTGTTGGCTTAACTTACATTTATTTGAACAAGTTTCAGAACCAGCATGATCAGACCATGGGAACGGGGTTTTATAGGAGAAGAGGTTTTTTTTATTTCAAAACTCTAAAACATAAAATTTCCAAATTTTTCTTCATACTATCTTGTAGAGCTTAAAAAACAAATAATTTAGTATTTTGGAGTGTTAGTGTACGGTTGTTGGCTACGGAGAAAATTAATTTTTTTTTTTTTAATTCCTATGTTATTCTTATGGGTACCTAATCACTAAATTATTGTAGTTTACTTGTTTATGGATATATTTGTTAATCAAACTTGGCAAATTTATTTAATTTATACTATAAGCTATTACTATTTCACAAGAAAAAAACACCATTACCCTCTCTATAACTACAAACCTAGACCTACTTGTTAAATTTAATGTTTAAAATGTGAAAATCAAATCAAGTAAATGAAAATTCGCTTAGTCTGCAGGATTGCTGTAGCAGGGTTATTTAATACTTCTCTCATTATTATAAAATACACATTTTATGTCTTTTTTGTGTGTAAATTTGCAATGCAATTTTATTACACAATTATTAGGAACAAATTAGTTCCTCTAAAACAATTACAGTTGGCATCATGATAAGGTTTAGAACGGATTCTTTTCTAAAGGAACAGGTTTTAAAATTAAATCAAATGAATAATTAATTAGAAACATTACCGTTGTTTACTTACAGATGGTTCTTTAGGTGAACCATTCAGATGAATCACTGAGAGTGCCCCTTTTATAAATATAGTTGATAACACAGTGATAACTTGCGGACTCACGTGACCTTGTTTACAGACCAGCTCTGTTGGCAACATGTCTAATGAGATTCAGTTTAGTTGAAACAAACAGGTAGGCAACAGTCAAACAAACCAATGAAAACCAACTCATAGGTTTTAATAATCAGTGGTATTTTTTATTTTATTTGACTACAATAGCTTGTTTGAATGGCTTATGATTTCCAGATCCATGAAGTAAGTCATATTAAACCTAGTTTTTGTCTAGTTGAAAATTGAGACTGAGCTTTAATCATTCTTTGATGAAAACTATTATTGATATTTGGTTTTTATTAGAACTGTTTAAGTAGGGTACTCTTCTGAATTTCATATAAATTCATTTTCATTTAAAATGTAATTACTAATGATTAAATAGAAAAGAAAGAATATTATTTTAAATATCAACCTAAATTACTTGGATTGGTTTTGAAAATTATTGCTTGCTCATAGAGATTAGGTCTACATTCAGGTTATGCTAAACACCCAAATAAGCTTATATCCAAAACTATAAATTTGACAAAAAACAACATATTTTATACAATACACATTTACACAGATGCTCTATGGCAAACACAGTTTTGATATTCAGTGAAATTATGTTGTGATTAATCATACACGGAGGTGTAATCTCCAACACTTGTAAGATCAGCCTAGACTGAAGAGTTCACCATAGCAGCAAGGGTGCCGCTGATTAATATGAGCAAACCTCTATCTTGTTCCAGGAACCAGGGTAACGGTCATCACCTGTAAACTGTTTATATAAAATGCTTGTTTCTATAAAAAAAAAATGTTTTTGGGCTTTCTTAAAGCTATAATTCCCTTTCAAATACATTCTCATTATACTTACTTGTCTCTGCAATCTGTATGTGATGTTTAACTAGCCTAATCAAAACAATGTATAACACTGATGATACTATAATTTACCCTAAAAATGTAACATTTTAAATAATAAATTATGTAGGTGCAAAGGTAGCCCTGTTTGTTGTTTATAATTATCAAATAGCTTTCACCAGTCACTTGTTGCAACTGGAATAAGCTTTTACTGTAGTTCTTATTTTTGTCGATTTACTGTGTTTCCACACTGACAATAGTCACAGACAATAGCTCAACATTGTCCTATCAGGCTCCCATCCTCATACAAACAGAACTTATTAATTATTGATATTCAACTTTAGTTATTAAATGATTTGGTTCTTTTGGTTATGTATTACACCTCAGTTATTTTTTTACTAAAAATAAACCACACTGATTTTGGGACACTTTAAGTTATCCAACACAAAAAAAACTTTTTAAATTTTGTGTTACCACCCACGAGCCATGCCTTCCTTCCAAACCACATTAAGAGGTGATAAAAATATCATAACATATGATTGGATGGGTTGCAGGCAGCTCTGTGGGACAATGCAGAATTGTTGGAGGACTTGTTTAGAGGAGATCAATCTTTCCACATCAACAGCCAGGACTCATTGTTACTATTGTTAGACAAGGTATATATCTGATGATTGGATGGGTTGCAGGCAGCTCTGTGGGACAATGCGGAGTTGTTGGAGGACTTGTTGAGAGGAGATCAATCTTTCCATATCAACAGCCAGGACTCATTGTTACTATTGTTAGACAAGGTATATATATCTGATGATTGGATGGGTTGCAGGCAGCTCTGTGGGACAATGCGGAGTTGTTGGAGGACTTGTTGGGAGGAGATCAATCTTTCCATATCAACAGCCAGGACTCATTGTTGTTACTGTTGTTAGACAAGGTATATATCTGATGATTGGATGGGTTGCAGGCAGCTTTGTGGGACAATGCAGAGTTGTTGGAGGACTTGTTGAGAGGAGATTAATCTTTCCATATCAACAGCCAGGACTCATTGTTGTTACTGTTGTTAGACAAGGTATATATCTGATGATTGGATGGGTTGCAGGCAGCTCTGTGGGACAATGCAGAGTTGTTGGAGGACTTGTTGAGAGGAGATCAATCTTTCCATATCAACAGCCAGGACTCATTGTTGTTACTGTTGTTAGACAAGGTATATATCTGATGATTGGATGGGTTGCAGGCAGCTCTGTGGGACAATGCAGAGTTGTTGGAGGACTTGTTGAGAGGAGATCAATCTTTCCATATCAACAGCCAGGACTCATTGTTGTTACTGTTGTTAGACAAGGTATATATCTGATGATTGGATGGGTTGCAGGCAGCTTTTTGGGACAATGCAGAGTTGTTGGAGGACTTGTTGAGAGGAGATTAATCTTTCCATATCAACAGCCAGGACTCATTGTTGTTACTGTTGTTAGACAAGGTATATATCTGATGATTGGATGGGTTGCAGGCAGCTCTGTGGGACAATGCAGAGTTGTTGGAGGACTTGTTGAGAGGAGATCAATCCGTCCACATTAACAGCCAGGACTCATGGGGACGCACAGCCTTACATGCAGCAGCCACTACAGAAAACTCCCGTTGTTTGAGAGTCCTCTTGCAAGCAGGAGGTATGATACTTATATTTAATTTTTTTAGTTTATTAGGAAAATTAGAATAGATATGATAATTTAAATATTTTTGACCTGTTTGTCCTTTTCTAGTGGATATGATTTTATATGAAGACCAATTCGAACTTCATGCTCCATTTTACTACTAACCTCTTTTTAAGTATATTATTTAAAAAACCACTTTACAGTTTTTAAGAAGGATTTTATCCTCTCCAATAACATTATATTTTGTATTTTTACTCTGACAAGGCAGATATATAGGCCTAATTAATAATTATGTGTATTTTAAGATTAAGAGAATCAATAAGATAGCAGCTTTGTCAAGGGCAAATATCAGCTAGTTCTGTAGCCAGAACCATTTACTAAAATTCCTGAATCTTTTTGCTCATGTTGGATGTCTTAGCAAATATTCTTTTATAATATTCTTTTATTTTATGAAAAATAAAGTGAATAAAGTTAGTACAACACAGTAGAACTCCAACTATCCAAACTCCACCTATCTGTATAGCTAATTCTCTGAATCCCCTACAGAAAGAATATAAAAACTTAAAACTACAGTAATAAGAATTGTTGAAGCTTGAAGCCGTGATCAAGGCTAAATCCAGGTCTCACAACTGCCCAGAAGCTCTCATAAGCCCCGTGTACACGTAGCTAGTTTACTAGCAGCTAGTATTCGCTGCTAGCACTAGCTGGGCACACTAGCGCGAAAATTCCCATCTACACGTGGCTAGTTATTAGTGCTTATTATTAACGCTAGTCATGTAGAAGTGAAGTGTTCATTGGTCGCAATAGTCATTTCAGTTTAGCACAAAATGTCTTCTGTTCCCTTAAATCGAAATATTTTGAGACAAATTTTAAGAATTGGTGTACAAGAGTTGTGTGAACATGAACTTAATAAAAAGAGTCGATCTGTGTGGGTTCGAAAGTGGATTAAGAGGCGAGAACTTCTTGGTGCGTCCAATTCTATTTTAAGAGAACTGGCATTGGAAGACCCTACAGAGTATTTTAAGTTTTTGAGAATGAATGCTTTAAAGTTTGAAGAGCTGTTGGAAGTAATCACTCCACTGATTAAGAAAAATTATACTGTTATGAGAGAGGCTATAACGCCAAAAACTAAACTTCAAATAACTCTGAGGTATTTGGCAACAGGAGATTAATTTCCTTCTTTACAATACACAAACTGGCCACAACACACAACCACAACAACACACACAACAACAAACTGATCACCGGCGTGTGGCGAGTGGCGATTAGCACTAGCAGAAGTGCAAATGCCCCGCTAGTACCGCGCTAGTTCGCTAGCGCTAGTGGTCACGTGACCACCCCCTCCATTTATTAGCGCTAGTAATATCAAACATGTTCAAAACGACTAGCAGCGAGTAAAATGCTAGCGCGCTAGTAATTTTTTACGCTAGTAGACTGTTTACACGGAGCGAATTTACTAGCGCTAATCAACTAGCTGCTAGTACTAGCCTCGTGTACACGGGGCTATACACACAGTTTGAGATGTAAAGTTCCCAGATGTTAGAGGTTATGTTTGGAACTTAAAAGAGCTCAATGCAATAAAGAAAATTGAGTATCTGAGGCTATATTATGCATCTTTTTAACTTTAAAATATTGGAATGATTTTTTAAATATTAGATGCTTCATTGATGGAAAGGTCAAATGATAGTTAACAAATTATTTATGTTTGATTTATAGCCTAATAATATGTTACTGTAAATTAGTTCATTGTAATTTTGGTTTAAAATTTGGCTAAACTCCAATGCAACTGTATACGCACTTATGTTTATTTACAACAAAATGGAAATAATCTTTAACTTCTCTTTTCAGCTAATCCAAACATTCCATGTGGACCAAGAGGTGATAGTCGGGTGAGTAAAAATAATTAAATATCTAGACGGCCTTAGCAAAACACAATGCATGCGACAAACTAGTATATATAGAACACTCTGTGAAAATTGACATTTGCTAAAGCTTGCATTGTTTTGAATAAATTCTAAAACTAATACAACTACTCTAATAATACTTTCCTAAATTGTTAATATCAGTATTACATCAACCACTTAGTCATCTTTAAGTTTTAGCCGGGGGGCCGTTTGTAGGGGTAATTATGGGGGTTATGGTATGGTACCGGGAAGGGAATTCGGGTAATCAGGAGGGAATAAACAGGGTAATGCTAATAGGTTAGGAATAGGTGTGTCTGGACCAAACTTAATTTAAGCGTGCTGAATCTAATACCAATAAAATTAGGAAGATTGCTGGGGACCAGAGGGACGGAGACCTTTTACCCAGATCAGAACACTTGACTATCCAGTTTTGATTTGCACTAATTGAACTAAATATTTAAGTATTAACCTATCCTTCCAACTATGAACTGAACTTGGATAATTACTTACTAATATTGATGAGTGAGTGAAATAATATGTAAATTGAATACTGAATGGTAATATGTATGAATTTGATTGATAATTGCTAAGCTACATTCTGGGAACATGTGGATTAGTTTTTCATGTTTGAAAAGGTTGGTTGCAGAAGGCAACCAACCGACTGAGTTCTGATTTCCTACATTTCAATGGTCGGGTGAGCCAGAAAGGCTCCCCGCTTGTTACCTGACTTAGCCAACCATAATTGGTACTTATATCTATCTACATAACTAAACTAATTGTAACTTATCAGTTTCGGGTCACGGTCCTAGAAATTGGTTCTTGTTTCGTTTCAAGATGCCGAAGTTGAAGAGGGAAATCAGCCAAGACGGGGGACAAGAGTAGGAAGGTGGGGATAGAGCGTTGATGCAGTCGCGGCAGGCAACGAGATAGTCATGCAGCCCGGCTTCGCGAAATGCACACACTATATAAAATATAGCGTGTCGCTATGCGTCACAAAGGATCAGACCAACATTCATGATTTTTTGCAATCGTTATAGAGGTAGACATTGCTAGATTTCTGTCCCCCCTTATTGGAAATTTTTTGTGAATTCTTTCTCAACTTAGCATTTTTGAAAGCTCAAAAACAATGTAAAAATTATTATAAAAAATGCAGATGACACGACTCTTTTACTACCAAACAAGCCACCACAAACTCTACATGTAAAAGTACTATATTTAACTGGCAAGGCACTCCAATGCTCACTTTAAAATGATTCGACTATACATCCTTCTAAAACAACCCAGATAAATTTTTATCAGAAAATGGGAAAAATCCTGAAACTCCACATATTTTAGTTTAAGCAAACAAAACTGCTTTGAGGATTTATGCTGACCTGTCATGGACCAATCATATTCATGAACTAACCAGGAAGCTCTCATTGGGAAGACACGCAGTAAAGAGGATGATGTGGATTGAAGGAATAGAATCAGCTAAGGCAGCGCAATATGCCATGGTGGAATCACACATTAGGTACAGGCTGATTTGTTGAGGTAGCACCTCTGACAACAACCTCAATAAAATCCTGGTGGCTCAGAAAAAGACTTTTAGGATACTCTCTGGCCTCGATTCCTCAGTAAGCTGTAGCCTTTAAACCCCTCAAAGATTTAACAATTCCAGCACTCTATGTTCATGAAGTAGCAATGTAAACAAGCAAGCTAAATCCTCCTAGGAATCAGGATTTTCACAACACCATACTAGAGAAGCTAGAGACTACAGCCTTCCCATCCTCCTCACCACACAATTCAGTAAGAAACCATCGTATAGGCCTATTAGCTGCAAAATTTCTAATTCCCTCACACTGCACATAAAAACCTATCAGGAAAAAACTGAAAAAGAACTTTGCAACTTTCACTTGTAAATCAATTGGTGCACTCAATCAAGTAGTTTTTTTGCCAAACAAGATAATAGAAAACCAAAGAAACTACCTCAATAATCGTTGTAAACCAAGATCAATTTTATATTCTTTATCGTAATTTTCAATAGTATTTTAAATCAGAGGAATGATACAAGACCAAGAGGGCAAAGTACAGATGATAATGCCACCAACACAACACTGAAAGTATGATGCCAGTCAGCTACTTGCTCGAATGTGATTATGTGTGTAGAACAGGCCTGTTTCTTTAAAAAAAAACCGTTTATGTATATGTGTATATCGCGTGTGACAGTTTATGTTATGTCTATTAATGACACCATAAAGGCGGAACGACTGATGATGGCACAGAGATGCTGAAACCACCATAACATTTGTTACACTACTAGGAGCTGATTGACAAAGGTAATTCTATTTATTTAATGATTTAGTCAAAGAAAAAAGTCCAAAAAAAAGGAAAAAGTACAACGTATCTAAGCCTAAAAAAAATGTAATGTAAATATAATGTATTTAATATGAATTTTAATTTTTTACTTTGTAGAATAATTAAATTTAGGTAACGAGAAAAAAATGAGTCAGGTTTATTAATTTCCCAAAACAGATCTTGTAAATTGTAGTATTTTTGTTGACAGACAGCACTGCATGTAAGCGCAGAGCATGGGTTTGTGGGTAACGTGATGGTGCTGCTGGCTCACAACGCAGACATGCTAGCACGGGACTCTACTGGTCTGACACCGCTCGACATTGCAGAGAAGGGTGAACACGCAGAGTGTATGCAGGTCCTCAAACAGGCAGCCGGTGAGTGCAGATGTCTGGAACATTGATTTGTGAGTCTCATAGTAGATCGTATGACAGGTGTGTCAACTCGATAATACAGTAGACCTGATACTTAAGACTTCAGATAATCTGATTATCCAAAAAGTAATGTTTCTAAATCTTTCCGATATTTACTTGTGAATGTGCAATGTTCCTGGCTAAATCTGTTAAATATTTCTTGAGTAACCTCCTTCAGATACAAATGAAGAAACTCAAACGATACTTTTTTTGTAAAAGTGTTATGTGCATGTTAGAGTGATCAGTAAATTTACTGTACTCCAGCTGATTTTACTGTGCTTCAGCTGACTTTACCAAACTCCAGCTGATTTTACTCTTTACTGTACTCCAGCTGAAATTACTGACGGTCGCTTTCTATAAACAATGACTTTCTCGTGTACAAAGAATACAGAATCCAGCTTCTTAATGTTTTTAGTGTGGTGGAAAAAAATCATAGCATTTAAGACAATTCTATAGATTGCTATAAAAAGATATAAAATTATTTATCTTTTTGTGAATGTACATTTTACATAATATACTTTTGATTTTTTTAAATGCCAAGAAGTTTTACGTATTCTGAAATTATAGTTACTATAAGGTATAAGGTATCACAAAAATGTTCACCTACTGGAGCAAGCTATTCTAGTGAAAGCATCTGAATATGTTGCACAACTGACAAGTTAAACAGTGTATGCGTAAAGGGATCTTGGGTTTTGTTCTATGGTGTTTTGTCTCTCATAAATCTCAACTAAATTTGAATGGACCTTTGCCAGACATTGTAAAAACATCTAGAGACATCTATTTGATAATGTCTTGATGTGTTCGATGCAGTGTGTGTCCAGGGCCAGATTTAGCATTTTGGCGCTAAGTTGGTTCGGTTAAAGTTACTTTCCCTCAAATTGTTATTAAAAAACTATCAGGCATAATTCCTTTAATACCACTCCACGATGCAATGAAAGTTTTATCATTGCAAGTTTTTGGAAGAATTTACTTGGCTCTGGCCTTAACAAAATGCCATCTTAAACACTTATTAATTTTATGTATTTAATAGTAAGTTCACGTTTGTGGGATAGAGACAAAGCAATCTGATTAACCCACAGAGCATTCCAGCAAAAAAACCATGGCCATTGATGCTGCCACAGTGGTTTCAAATCTCAGACCAAAAACATGAACCCCATACATTACGTAATACCATAGATTAAACATACTTCCTTAAGGCCTTTTCACACCGGCATACTGGACGTGCTACAGAAACTACCAAAACGTCCACTTGTTCGTTTGCAGTCAGACAAGTAACACCCTCACTCGTTTCTAGCGTATTGATGTTAAGTGCATTTGTTACCTGTGTATATACAGTATGTCTCATCCACAAGTTCCTTGGTGTGAGCCTGGGTTTTCTGTGCCATGGATTAATGAACAGAGTGATAGTGATAGTGATGATGACCTAATGTTGTTATACTTGGTTACGAAAAGGAGCAAGTGGGTCATCCCAGATAACAGGATGATTACGAACTTCTTCAATTAACGCTTCCATGGTACACCAGCAGCGCCAAACACTAGGAACACCAAACAACAGCAACAAACACAGCAGACCCAACGATGTGCAGACCATGTGGCGGCCGAGCAACAATTTATCTATAAATTATAAACCACGTAGAATGTACTTACAATGGGTAATCAGGGTAATCTTTTTTAGTTTTTTCATGGGTAATATCACAGCCACCTCTAATACAAGGCCGCGGCGAGCAAAAAGTGGCAACGTCGCATCTTGGTCTTGGCGTGCGGTCGTCTTACCATTACAGTGACTGGAAGAGTCGCGTGCCGACGTACTTATTCGCGTTTATATTACCCTTAATCATTAGTAATGACATTGAAATTGCTACTGCATCGAGCCAGATAGATGTGTTGTGCCTGGGTGCAAGAGTAATTACGAAAGCTCGATTAAAACTAAAGGATACACGCAGTGTTTTAAAATTCCAAGTGATTCGGTGCGTAAGCAACCGTGGATTAGTGCTATTCCTCGGTCAGATTGGACACCTTCAAACAATTACCGTGTCTGCATGAAACATTTTCACAAAGATGACCTTAGTTTTGTGGAAAAATACAAGAATAAAGATGGTGATTGGTACGAATATAGACACGAGAAGCCAGTTTTAGGTGAGAATGCCGTACCTAGACTGTTTCCCAATTTACCTTAGTATCTTGATATACAAAAAACAACAAGGAGAAAGACTCCTGAAGAAAGAAGACAAGAGGAAGGCAACAGGATGAAGAAATTTGACTAGCAAAAGTAAGGGACTTTACTTCATTTTGCAACAATTAAGGCTGTATATTTAGCACATAATTAATAAATAAATAATTATAATAAATTAACGTGTATTATTTGCGTCATTTTGCACATTATAATGAATATGGAAAGCCATACGAAGGCCTAGCTTCTGAGATCGTGTCCACAATGGCAAACGTATTGCTAAATAGTTATTCAAAGAAAATAAACTATTCAGTCAGTAGGCCTTCAAACAAGAAAAGAAAACTTAAAATTTTGTCGTAGCTATCTAGACTTTTGGTTCGTCAGGTATGTTAAAACAATAATATGAATATTTAAAATTGAAAATAATTTATTTTAACAATCCAAGATATTTTTTTTATTTTACTCTTTCATTTGTAATTGGAAGTTTTACAAGACATTTTCACATGCATTGCAATTATTACAATACGATAAATAGGCATACAAGCAAACAGACATTATGTTTGTATTTTAGTACGAAAAGCACTATTATATGCGAGACGTAGGAATTGGCTAACTCAGGAACTCGCTAACTCGGTCGTGTGTCGGAACTGGCTAACTCTGGAACTGGCTAACCGGCTCAGTCAGGAATTGGCTAACTCTGGAACCCGCTAACTGGCTCAGTCAGGAATTGGCTAACTCTGGAACCCGCTAACTCGATTTTGTCTCGCGGCGGAATTCGCTAACTCTGGAAGTCGCTAACCCGGCCGCGCCCACTGCACGGAGCGTTGCCAACCTTGTACGACAAAATAATCGTACACTGCCGTATTTCAAAATGTCAGTGTCAATAAAGATACAGTAAATGTTATTGTTTTTTGTTATCAATTCCACTTTTAACACATAACTAGCCCAAAGTAATTCAAAGACAATTAAAAAATCACGAAAAAGTGTTTTTTAGCGAATTTCCCATATAGGGAATAAGCTATTACCGTAGTACTCATGGTAAGACCTGGACCCGGGACCGATTTACTTTTTCGTTTTGAGGTCCCTAGAGACCAAAAACACCATCAGTTCAAATTCATATATATATATAATTTATATATGTGTCCGTTAGCGCGATAGCTCGAGCAAAAATCATCCGATTTTGATGAAATTTGGTACAAACGTTTAAACCTACGTTTATTCGAACGAGTTCGCAAACCAGCATGATCGGACTATGGGAACAGGGGCTTATGGGGGGTTTTATGGGGTAAAAATTGGTTTTTCCCATTTTTGACCCAAAAAACTTAAAATTTAGCAATTTCTTTCTAAACCATTTTGTAGAGCTTAAAAAAACAAATAATTTTGTATATTGAAGCGTTATTATGCGCCTAATGGTTACGGAGAAAATTCAAAAAATCTGTAAATTTAAAATTCCCATGTTATTCTTATGGAGAATAAGTAAACTGTTGTAGTTTGCTTGTTTATGAACATATTTTGATTAAATTTAGAAAATGCATTCATTTCATACTAAACTATTACATTTTACAAATAAAACACCTTATTACCCTCCCTGTTGCAGCAAACCTAAATACTCTTGAAACTAATGTATTTAAATAGGGAATAAATGTGATATTTTTTAAAGAGACATTTGAGTTTAAATCCAATCAGGCAAATGGAAATTCGCTTAGTCTGCAGGTTTGCTGCGGTGGGGGTATTTTATTAAACTGTACAATGGCCAGTTAAATGTTTATGATTTCGATCTTAAATATAAATGCCATCAGTACATAAAGAAAATAATAGAATATGAAAAATATTGAAATTTTAGTTTAATTGAAACTAAATAATTTAACCTCTACGAAACTAAGCTAAAATACACGCAAGTTCTTAACACGTTCGCTACTGCAATAGTACGAAATTTTCCATTCACATGGACCAGCGACGCACATATGCGACGGCCGGTTTCCACCCATAGACTGCTGTCGCATATATGCGACGGCTAGTCACATTAAAATAGACTGCCGACGCATATTTGCGTCGGGGTTCTAATGTTATTAAAATGCTTATATCTTTGTAGTGGTCTATTTGAAGGCACTGAATACCCTGCAGTGGTCTACAGAGATGTCTGACGCACAACTGCGTCGCTTGGTCTGTGGATATGATGATTGGTGATGTCATATAATAGTTGGAAAATCTGGTCTTTACTTTTCTGCATCACTGTATGTATGTGTGCAGTATGTATGCTGCATTATCCTATGTAACTTTTATATTTGTTCAGTTATAAACTGTTCTTGAATAGTCTGTTTATTTTTTACTTACTTTTACCTTAAAACACAAAAAAATGAACTGTCGCATATATGCGACGTTTAGTCTATTTTAAGAAAACTGTATTAGTTTTCACTATTGTCTTCGCTGTAGACCGGGCGTCGCAAATATGCGACATTACAAAAGGTTATAAAAAATACAAAGAAACAAGAATAATTTATTTACAAACACGATTGTAGCATATTACAATGTAAATGATCACTGTTTTACAGGTTTTCGCCCGTGGTCTGTGTGTGCTGTTATCCAAGTGACAGCCGGTCTATGTGTAAGATTCAAATGTATACCTCGGTCTGTGGCAATGACCGCGGCGTCGCATATATGCGACGCTCAGTAGCGAACGTGTTAAACACGGAAAACAGATTTTTGTTACATGTTATAAAACCGTTTATAGATTGTACACCTAAGCACCACTAGTAAAAAATAGTAGAAGACATAATATTCATATAATAAAACG